CTCCCTCCCTCCCTCCCTCCCTCTCTCTCTCTCTCTCTCTCTCTCTCTCGCAGCGCGCTCCCCGAGGTCCCCCCGCGGCCCTCTCACAGAAGAACTCGGCCACGAGCTCGGCGCTGCCGCGCAGGGTGATGCCCTGGTGCTCCCGGCCGAGCTGCTGCTGCTGCGCCGCCATGGCCGCCGCTTCCCCGCCGCCCGGTTCGAATCCGGCCCCGCCCCCTCCCGGCCCCGCCCCTTCCCGGCCGCGCGGCCGCGCTGAGGGCGGCGCGCGCCGCCTCAGGAGCAGCCTCCAGCGGCCTTCCCTCTGGGAATGGCGATTCCCCATGCCCCTTATCCATGGAAAACGGGCCGCGGGCTCCCCTGGCTGCCTCGTGGGAAAAAAAAAGTTGTTTTTTTTTCCGGCCATGTTCAACTCCCCGTCCGTTCCCGGTGCCGATGCGTCTGTGGGCGGGGCTGAGGGCAGCGTGGAGCGGGTGAGGGGCTCTGCCGTGCGAATGCTGTGGGAAGTTGGGTGTCAGCCTTTGCCTAGGTGCATTCGACCTTGTGAACCTAAAAATGGTACTTTTCAGGTATGAATTGAACAAATGCTTCACTTATGATTTGTTGTAAGTCATGGCGTAAGTCATGCGGTAGCTGTTCCAAGTTCAAATAAAATGCTGCAAGCACTGCGAAGAGGCAGGTGGGGAGAACGTGGGAAAGCAAGATAAACAATTTTTCCTTCAGTCCATAATAGCTCCAGAAAATAAAAGAAGAAAAAGGAGGTTAAGAGGCATTTGGGTTGCTGGGCTGCCTTGGTGAAGGGAATTTGCCGCTTGGTCAAACAACTTCAGTCCTGTTACTGCAGGGAGACCAAGGAAGATGTTGCAAGTAGCAGTGGCCATCACCTGGAGGAAGCTCTGGCAGAGGTTAACAGGTAAGAGAGGCTGAGCAAAACAAGTAAATGTTGAAGTATATTAGTCATATGAAGAGGGGAATTTACAGTCTGCTGCAATAGTAACAAGGTGGCCAGCTAATTAGCTGATAAAATCAGTTACAGGCAAGAAAACGAAAATGAATGGATTTGCTGGACACAGAAGAGCTGCAAATGAAATCATTCCCTGAATGTGATTTTTCCAAAGCATTATTTGATGTTATCATTTAAAGTGTACCTGTGTTAGATACCCATATTGCCCTTGAAAGAAACAAATGGAACAGTCTTGAAATGAAGTGGCATTCGAAACAGAAATGTTTATATTGAGGATAAAAAACATGTGGTCATTACACAGTACAGTGGGCCAGCTGCTAAGAGAGTGAATTGATGGTGTGATTGCTTATTTTATTGTAATAAAACACTTGTTCTCAAAAGCTTGGCTTTCTCAAAGCTTGGGCTTTCTCTTGGTTCCAGTTTTGGTCCAAGAGGAAGTATGGTTTGCCTCAGGGTTCAGGCTGCTGTGATTAAAACAAATGGTATTGTCCGGAAGTCATGTGCTGAAGTTCTGAAAGAGTCTGAATAATTTAATTTTACCAGGGGAAATTTATTCTGGATTTTATTCACTAGTGATTGTGTTATACATAAGTCTGAATGAAATATTTTCTGAGTAAAGAGTGGCATGTTTCCAAGGTTGTGATAATGGAAGCATTTTTCATCCAAAGCCTAACTTTTAGAAATTGGATTGCTGTGAATATCAGCTGTTTTGCTTAAAACATTATGTACTATGGTGCTCTTACTTATTTATCCCAAAATGGTCTCAGTCCTCTGGGTTTTTTTCTACACTTGGCTTCTTGTCCATTTTGCTTTTGGAGAGCTGCTCATTTTTGTGATAAATAAAAGATCTTGCAAGCGTGAGACCAGGCAAGAATAGAAGAACTTTCAATTATTATTTAGCATCTTTCTCCTCTAACTGTTCTCCTGTTAAAATCAGACAGAAGAAAGGAATCCAGGTGTTTCTTGTTTTACAGAGATAATTTCACTGTGTCTCAGTTTGGATGGTTTGCACACACACAGCTGCATATGCTTATCAGTTACACATTTAATCGCTTCTTTACTTCCAAC